GTCACAGATTCACAGAAGTTTAGGGCTGGAAGGCACCTTGTGAGATCATCGAGTCCAGCCCACCCCTGCTCTGGGTAGAAAAGATGTCTGGGGGTCAAACCACCCCAGCAAGGTGTGTGTCCAGTCTCCTTTTGAAGATCTCCAGGGTAGGTGCCTGTACCACCCTCGCTGGGAGTCTATTCCAGAGTCTGGTCACACACACTGTGAAGAAGTTTTTCCTTATATCCAGTCTGAAACCTTCTAGGAGTTTATGACCATTGCTCCTGGTTTTATCTTGGAGTGGTTTGGGGAATAGTTGCTCCCCTAATATATTTGTAAGGTGCCATCAAATCCCCCTGACATCTTCTCTTTTCTAGGATGAATAGTCCCATATCTGTCATCCTTTCCTCGTATGGCTTGCTCTTCAGGCATCTAATCATATGAATGGCTCTTTTCTGGACTCTTTCAAGAGTCTCCACATCCTTCTTGAACTGCAGCACCCCAGAACTGGAAGCAGTACTCCAGCTGTGGCCTCACCAATGCCGAGTAGAGCTGGAGAATAACTTCTTTAGTTTTGTTTGAGATGCATTGGTTGATGCAAGCCAGCATATTGTTTGCTATGCTAACTGGAGCATCACAGCATTGGCTCATATTAATTGTATGGTTAACTATGTCCCCCAGGTCCTTAGTTGTACCCTGGGAACCTCATGGGACACCAAGTCAAAGGCCTTCCTGAAGTCCAAATAAATTATGTCAATCTCATCTCCCTTATCCAGGTAGTGAGTAACCTGGTTGTAGAACGAGATTCAGTTAGTCAGACATGAGTCTGACTTACCCATGACAAAACAGTGCTGGCTGTCATTCAGACTTGTGCCTTCTACTAGCTTATTGCATATGGACTCCTTGAGAAATTTTTCAAGGATTTTTCCTGGGATTGAGATCAGGTTGATTGGCCTGTAGTTCCCTGCGTCCTCTCTCCTCCCCTTCTTGAAGACGGGCACAACATTATGCTCTCTGTCCCAAAGAGCATAAGGACCAATGGGCAGGTTATAGAGGGGAACCTGGGAGAGCCTGCACTGGGGTGGGATGAGTCTGGAAACAACCAGAGCTCCAATAGTCTCACCAGAGGGGCCATTTCCATGCTGAAACCAGTGCATTACACACAGCAGGAGGGCCTAGGCTGTCAGTGCAGGGGAGCTTCGTTCTTCTTTACTGTCACTCTAAAAATTGGGGATTGGAGCCAGGTTGGAACTAACTGGACAGGCTGAAAGGAAAATAGACATATCTGTGTCTATACTCACATGCACACACTTTAGCCCATGCATGTACTCGCACATGCACTCACACACACATGCTGCCTTTAAGGGGAAAATGACCGTTCTGTGGCAGAAGAGAGGTTTTGTACATATCCAAGAAACAGGTTTCTAGTGCAACCCAGTAACTTGGGTTGAAAGACACACCAGGGAGGTTAGACCAGGAACAAGCAATATGAACCCAGGAAAACCAACAACCATCACACAAAAGAACAACACAATGGTAACGCCTGTAAATCCCCAAGGAGGCCAATAGGATTGCAGTAGGCCCTACTAGCCGCCTGGCCAGAAATGCCAGTGAATAGAGAATTCCAGCTTGTAAAATGCCAGATGACAGAGATTTTACTGTACCTATATATTTCTGCATTTAATTTTGGGTTTTTCATCATGGAAAATCAGAGCTCCTGCTGAGACCACTCTCTACACTCCAGGGAATGATGCACAGAAAAATTCAAAACTATGCAAATGTAATTTCTTTCTTTTTTTTCTTTGTTTTTTTTTTTTTACAAATTAAACTAAATATAACACTATTTGAACCTTCTTTAGAAATATATGCAAGTACTTTGTATGGTTGGCTGGGGGGTGTGGGAGGGGATTTGTGAAGGTGTGGGAGGGTGTTTGTGGGGTTTATGGGCAGGTGTGGTGTTTGTAGTGCAGTTGTGAAAGTGTGGGGGGTTGTGGGGTTTGTGGTGCACTTCCCCCACCACCGGTGGCTCAGCAGCAGCCCTCAGGGTGCTCATTTGAGCCCAGTTTTCTTCCTGCACAGGCAGGGGGTCGGACCTGAAGATCTACAAGGTCCCTTCCGACCCAACTTCTCTGATTCTCTGATTCTATGGCTGTGGCAGGCAGATCCCCTGGCAGCAAGCACCTCTGGCTGAGTCCCAGGGCCTGCACATGCTGGCATGGAGCTGCCAGACCTGCTGGCACATGCCTTCAAACCAGACCAGCCTGGCTCTGTGCCAGCACATGTGGATTGCGGCACTGCAGGCAGGAGCTACACGCCATTGGGTTAGGCGGGCTTCGTGCCTCCACTTGGGGCTTCCAGCACTCCAGCAGGAAGCCGCCCATGAAGGTGCCTGCCTGGTCTGATGGTTGGCAACTCCATGCCTCCATGTGTAGCTTCCCACCTGGCCTGATGGCACACAGCTCCCGGTCGATGTGCCATTGGGCTGGACTGACTCTCCAGGCGGGGCTTCCCATGGAGACCTCCCTGCTCCCTCAGCCAGGGCCAGACACAGGCATGGGCGAACTGGGCAGCCTGAACAGAAAGGGGTCCCAAAAATGGTAATTTTTATTCTTATTATTATCATTATCTCTGGCAAAGAGGGGCCTGGCACTAAAAGCTCACCCAGGGCCACCAGGAGTCTAAGTACAGTGCTGCCCTCAGCCCCCACCCACACACCCCCATCCTGCCCCACTGGCTCTTGCCACAGCCCCCAAACCCCACCCCCCAGCCCTGGCAGTCACCTGCCCCAGGACTCTCTCCAGCTGAACTGCTTGGGAGAACACCTCTACCTATGGCACCGATACAGCTTAACCCTGGATGGCCCAACCTGAAAGACTTTAAGAAATGAGATGCTGAATTAAAACTGCAGCACTAGGAAGGGAGCAAAACAACTCCTGGAGATGCTATCAAGGGATGGAGTTTGATGCCAACGTTCCCAGATGTGTGCGGCTGTTCACAGTATGGTAACCACACCTGGATCCTACTTAGATGAGACTCCAAAGGGCCTCCTCCAGAGAAATATGGATCATCTTCAGTATCTCCCACCTCAACAAAATGATTCCAGAGCTCCGTTGGAGGAGGGATCTCTGCACTTGTGAGAGCACAGTCAGGAGACCAAGCAGACCTCCTCAGAGATGTGATCTATAGACATTCATTAATAATTGTATAATGTATGTGCTTCTGGAGGAGTTAGCAGTGGAAATGGTGCTTGTGGCAGAAATGCCCCGTCGGTGCCCCTCTCCAGAGATCTGTCTCAGCCAGCCCGAGAGGCTGCTGTTGAATCTCTCACAGCGGGGATCTCGCTCCTTGTATGCAGACAAAAGCCTGGCACCTGGGAGGCGATGCTCTGGTCACCTGGGCAGGGGGGGAAAGACCCGGCCCTGCGCGCGGGCCCAGGTAGCCAGGGATGCTTTGCTGCTGCAAGAGTGCCCTGCCTCCAGAGGAAACAACAAGCACCTCTGGATGATGCGAGTGAGTAATCTACTAGAGATCCGATTAGATATTTAGCTTCAGTAACTCGGATTCGTGTTGAAACGGCTAACTCAGCCACCCCGGTTTGCTCGATGGGGTTCCTTTGATATTCCTGTAAGATTTCCTTGATATTGCTCTACCTTTTACCCTGTTTCCGCCCTACCCCTGTAATCAATAAAGTTCTCCTTTGTGACCGGTGTGGAGACTTATTGAGGGGTGGGTCTAAATTATGCCAAGGAGGCCCCTTAGGTCGGCGGACTAAGGGAGGCTTCCTAATCAGCCCCTGACTTGGGGAAGTGCCCCAAGTGCTTGTACTGGGTCTAGCACCCATTGGACGATCAGGCCTGTGTTTTCCAAGGTGCGCAGAGCCAGAAGTGAGTCCAGAGCCTTGGATGGTGGCAGCGGGACCCCCAGGCTAGCGGGTGTGCTCCAGGGAAGGGGTCGGCCGGACGGGAGGCACCCCAGGGAGGCACTCGGAGCCTGGAAGGTGGTCGGGCGCAGGGAGGTGGGCGGCTCAACGCAGGAGCGCCCCCTACTGGCCCGCCACAGTGCTAAGGGCTATAGTGACGATATATAGTAATGATTTGTGATGCGATGCCATCTCATCTTGTTTTTGGAAAAGAAAGGGTGATGGGGAGTGATCACAGAGTCCTAGTTCTCCACATCAGGAGACAGGATGACAAAACTTTACCAGGGGGGCAGTAATAGAGGCTGGACAGTGCCCAGAGGGGGCCTAGATGACAACCCACACAACAGCTGCACTTGTTTTTCTGTCCCTCACATTAAAAGCACAGCTGCTCTGTACCGCTCCAGCAATTTTGAAGTACACCAGCCTGTCAGTGCACAGGGGCCTCACATCTGTCTATGTTTCAAAACTTTCTATTTAGAAACAGTGACACCCAGCACAGGACAGGGCAGCAGGGCCGGCAGCTTCCAGCCCCAGTACAAATGGAAATCTCCACTGGTGTTTAGTGGTGACCAGCGTGAGGGATGGGAGTGTGGAGGTGAAAGTCCCCTGGTGTCAGTCTCACCCTGAGGCCACGGGAGTTTTGCCACTGACTTGAAGGGAACACAGAGATCACTCCCAGTTTAACCCAGTGACAACTTCTGTCTGAGCCCTTGTGGGGTGACACCGTATAGTGATGGAGATGGTCACCGGTGCGGCAGAGCCGGGGGTCAGCAGAGGTACGAGCAGCATGTGAAGATGAAGGCAATGGGGCTGCACCTTTGTGACACTGCTGGGGAAGATGAGAGTCGGGCGTGGAGTGAGAGACCCACACACTGTCCTGATCCCTGCGCAGAGACACTGCTGTCAGCAACGGCATCAGCACAGAGCAGGGCTGTGTCTGCCCCTGCCCTGCAGGCTCTGCCCTGGGCCCAGGGAGCGTGCATTTATATAGAGCTGCTGCTTTGCATAGGGGCAGCGCCCTGCTCTGGGGAGCAGCTATAAAGGGGCTGGTTTAACACTTGGTGTCTCTCAGCTCCGTGTCAGTCGGTGCAGAAGCAGCAAGATGCTGTGGCAGACTCAGCTCCTCTGGCTCCTCGTGCTCTGGGCAAAGGGTAAGGGCAGCAGCAGGGAGGGAGCACCTCCAAGCTGTCAGTAGTTTCCAAGGTCTAGATGCTGATTCTACTCAGCATGGAGTACAAACCACTCCTAATGCCATTCTCTGTCTCCAGATCTATAAAAACAATTAAAGTTTCACAAAAAAATTATAGATGAAAAAAGTCCCATATCCTTCAGCTGGTCATTATTTTCATTATAACTGTCCAGCTTTCTTTTCCTTATTTCTCTCCTATGCAGATTCCAGTGTGGACATCCTCATCAATCAGACTCCAGAGTCCCTGGTTGTGTCCCCAGGAGAAACAGTCACCATCAAGTGCAAAACCAGCTCCAGTGGCAGTGGCAGCATGCACTTGTACCAGCAGAAACCAGGGCAGGCTCCAAAGCTGCTGCTCTATGGCACAAACAGCCGTCCCTCCGGGGTCCCCGACCGGTTCAGTGGCAGTGGGTCTGGCACCGACTTCACTTTCACCATCAGCCGGGTAGAAGCTGGGGATGCTGGAGATTATTACTGTCAGCAGAACTGGGATTCCCCTCGCACAGTGCTACAGCCCAATACAAAACCTCCATGCTCTGATCAGGTTCTGCTGCTCCCGGCACCAGCTGCTTCTTGCAGCCATTATAGCAGGGCCTTTTGCTACTTGAATTTACAACTCTTCACACAACACTTCTCCCCTCAGTTCAAATCTCCAGTGCAATCATGTCCACACAGAGCTGATCCACTTTGGTCCCCTGACATCTGTTTCTAGCTTATGGGCCCAAATCTCAATTCCTAACACCCCCCGTCTCCTCTTAGGGCACATCTACAAATTCTATCACTACTCCGCACACCTTGAGCGCCTCCTCTCCAAGCAGGCTGGCCTGGCACCAGCCCAGCCAAGACAAGCTCCTGCCCTTGTCATTCCAGGCTCCTGAAACAGCTGAAGCAAGGGCTGTTCCAGCAATCGTGCCCCCCTGGCATTAGTACACAGGGAGAGGCTGTTTGCATAAACATCAAATGTGCATACTGACCAGGTGCTTGCCTCATTTCCTTGACTCAGAGTTATAACTACCCCGTGTCCCAGTGTCGCACTGCCTGGGCACTGCTCCTCACCTGCCAGGCCTCAGCTCCAAGATGCTGTCACACCCTGCGCTGCTCTGGCAGCTGGCTGTCCTTGTGCAGAGTGAATGCGTGTCTGGGGGGATGTGAATGTACAGGGCCAACACTCATCTATCAGGCTGCAACACACACCATGGGCTGCTCATCAAACAACCTGATGCCCTTTCTTCATAGCAGGTGCTGAGGCTTCAAAAGTCACTTGAATGTTATTGGCTTTATAAAGATTCAGTCTCAAAATCCTCCTGCAGCTGATGCTAATCCTCTGACTACCAGGTCCTCCCCTGGGAAGTTGGGTAGGGTTGTTTTAATTTCATATGCAAGCATCTGCAGAGACACTGTGCTGACTCCGGCTCCACCATCCCTGGCAGGGTCTGCAGGAGACACAGCCACCAGCACCTGCAAAGCTGGTGCATACAGTTGCAGCAGCAACATGGCCTGGTATGAGTAGTTGTTAGGACCATGTTTCAAATGTGTCCTCCTGCCCCCCCCCCCCCCGCCCCAGGATCCCAGACCAGCTCAGCAGTGGTGGCTCTGGCACTGACTTCACTTTCACCATCCACAGGGTGGAGGCGGATGCTTCTGGGAGACCCTTACTATCAACAGTACTAGGAATGGCCTCTCACAGTGATGCAGACCAGCACAAAATCCTCCCCAAGCATCAGTTCATTTCTGCTACAGCAGCTCTGTGTCCAGTGACACTGTCAAAACCTTTCCAGTGCTCACAGCCCACCCCTGCCAAGTAAATACATACAGCTCTCATGACCTGTGCACTGTGACCCAGCCTCCAGAATCCCTCCCAGGGTCTCCTGGTCAGAACAGTGCCATCACCTCTAACATCAGTTCCAGCACTGGCAGCAGCTCTGTAATCTGGAGCAGAGAAACCTGGACAAACCCCTCAACTTCTTCACTGTGGAGGCTCCCCTTGGGCTCTGGGTCCCAGCCAGGTCAGTGGCAGTGGGTCTGGCATGGACTACTCTGGGGCCATTGATGGCAGACATATCCCAAGGGTCTCACCTGCTCTGTGTGTTCATGTCCCAGTTGGGTGATGATGGGGTTAGGGAGCAATGATGCTGTCCTGGTCAAGGAGGTAAAGAAGCTGGAGCTCACTGGGCAGGGCACCCTCTCACAATGATGTAGACCAGCATAAACTTTTCTGAGTCTGGTCACTGGTTATTGATGCCCAGAACAGGTCATCTAGTCCAACCCCCTGCCTGAAGCAGGATCATCCCTATCCAAACCATCCTGTACAATCCATCAGCTAAACTCTACATATGAGCATCAACCCAGACACAACACAGACCTAACACACTAATCTGCCACAGGTAAAGCAGGGGAACTAAGGCAGCCAATGTCCTCCTAAAAGGTTGTCAATATTATATGTTCAAGAGGTTCCAGGTAGACGGCCACACACCCTGCTACAGAGGGAGGAAAAACCCCCACAGTCCATACCAATCTGACCCCAAATGTGGTGACTGGTCTGACCTGGAGCAGAGGTGCAAAACCCTCAAGCCAAGAACCTCTGGCTTTGCTCCTAGCAGGAGGATCGGCACACCCCAGTTGAAGTCCAGCCTTGACTGTAGCCAACACCCAGCTGAATTAGATTTCGTTAAAGTACCAATGTCAGCTGTGATGGTGTAACAGTGACATTTACAGGGGCTTGGAGCAATGTCAAATAAACCCTTGTATCTTTAACCTCTATTTACAGCTTGGTACCTCCTTTGCATCACTGCAAGAGCCTGCAAAAGTCAGATCCCACCATAAGGGCTCAGCTGTCCCCAGCAGCCACTCCCCTCCCCTTCTGCAGGGGTTACAGACCACATCTGCTCATAGCCACAGGGTCACAGATGCCTCCTGGGCTCTGCCCATATCTCTGTCACTGCACAGCTCTCCCCAGGGGCCATGGTCCCCACCAGGCTCCTGTTTGCTCTGCTCAAGGCAGGAGGGAGGAGGGAGAGGGACTGGCAGGAAACAGGAGCCAGGTTTCTGAAAACTAGGCATGGAAGAAGATGTGGGAATCTGGAAGAGGGAAGGGTAATCAAGTCCATGGGGCAGGTATGAAAAAGGAAAGGACCCTGAGGCCATCCGTGGAGCTTTAGTCCAGGGTGTTGCACCAGGGTTGAGGGTCAAACAAGGAGATGAAATCAAGGCAGGAAGGAGTGGCGTGGCACCAGGAGTGTCAGGAGGGAGTAAGGCAGCAGCATACACTAGAGTGCATTGGCACTTCAACCTCACACTCCTGAGCGGGACACAACAAGGCACAGACATCCGCAGGAGCCGTCTCTCCAGGTCAGACTGACCTTGTGTCACCAACCCTTCTCCCTGTCTCTGCACAGGGCAAACAATGGCACAGAGAGCAGGGCAGGGGGGCCATCAGATCCTGCATCTTCCAGCCTCTGACATGCCTTGAAAGCTGATACCTCTCCTGAGGATTAAGGCAAACCCCAGTTGGGAGGGCAAAACCCCACCTGGGGAAATCTTGGTCCAGGGATGACAATGGGAGCTTTGTCACTAGTTTGAAAGCAGGCAGGAGTTCATTCCCAGGTTCTTTCCAGGAAAAACCCTTGTCTGAACCTACGTGGAGGTCAAAGAACTGAGCATGGATAAGGTGGTGACCAGTGAGGCAGAGCTGGGATGTGCAGCAGGTGCACAAACATCGCCTGACTGTCACTGGCACCAGCGCAGCCGAGGGGCAACTCTGGGGAAGATATTTGGGTCACTGACTCCCTGCACATGGACATACAGACACAAACACACTCTCCCTGCCATGAACACAGACACGTGCATACAAACTCACACTTGCACATGCTCTGGGACATGCATGCACACAGAGACACACCTGCACACACAGACATACGCACGCACACATGCAGACAGGCATGCACTGTACTCACTCTGCACAGACACACAGACACACTCTCCCTCCTGCCATGAACACAGAAACATGCACACACACTCACACATGCACATGCACTGACACATGCACATATACACAGACATAGGCACACAAGCAGACAGGTGTGCACTCTACTCACTGACTCTCTGCACATAGACATACAGACACAAACGCACTCTCCCTGCCATGAACACAGACACATGCAGACAGGTGCACACTCTACTCACTGACTCTCTGCACATGGACAAACACACTCTTCTTGCCATGAACACAGACAAATGCATGCATACTCATGTGTGCACACACTCTGGCACATACATGCACACAGAGACACACCTGCACACACACAGACAAATACACACACACACATAGACTGGTGTGAACTGTACTCACTCACTCTGCACATGGACATGCAAACACACTCTCCCTCCTGCCATGAACACAGACACACACAGACACATGCACACACAGATACATGCATGCACACACACGCACACACACAGATGGGTGCGCACTCTACTCACTCTCTGCACATGGACACACAGAGACAAACACACTCTCCCTGTCATGTACACAGACACATGAATGCACACTCACACATGCATATTCACTCACACACACACACATGCACACACACACACACACACAGATAGGCGTTCACTCTATTCACTCACTCTGCACATGGACACAGACACAAACACACTCTCCCTCCTGCCATGAACAGACACATGCATGCATACCACATGTATGCACACACGCAGATGGGTGCACACTCTACTCACTCTCTGCACATGGACACACAGACACAAATACACTCTCCCTGCCATGAACAGAGATGCATGGATGCACACACAGACACACACACACAGATACTCACACAGAAGCAGATGCATACAGATGCCCTGGCATGCACACACAGACACAGATGCAGACGTGGGCAACTGGTGCCAATCACCGAGCCCAGAACCACCAGCAGCAGAACCAGTGGAACCAGAAGCGCACTTCCACCGGCAATTCTGGTTTCACAGCTGGCACTTCCAGGGGGTGCACGGCCAATCTCAGGGGGTGCACATGCACTTGCGTGCACCCACTATGTGCCACCAATGGATGCAGATGCACACAGGACACACAGATGCACACGTACACACAGATGAGCACACACGCACAGGGATGAGCACATACACATGCACACACGCACACAGAGACACACGTACGCACACCCCTCTTCCCCTCCAAGGACCTCCTCCCTCCCTCCCCCTCCATCATGCTGAGGCAGCCCCTTCCCCTTCTCCTGCCCAGGCACCAGGAGCTCCCTCGCTCCCCAACCCCTGTTGCTCTGTCTGGGAGGGAGCTGCTGTGTCCCTGCAGCCACACACATGCATGGGCTGGGATGGCTCAGGCCAGGAGCCCTGCACCTCCTCTAGTGTAGGTAGCAGTGCTGGGAGGGGTGGCTCTGGGGGGTCAGGTAAATAATGGGGGCTGTGGACCCCCCAGCACCACTGCCTGCCTTGCTGCGCAGCACAGTGCAGTTCCTGCACCCCTACCCCCCCATGTGGCACTGCGCGGCACTCCTGGCCGGCCCGACCCCAACCTGCCCTGCCCCCCCGCATTGGGGAAGGGTCTCTCCTGGCTGCAGAGAAGCAACTACAAAAGCCAGTTTTAAACTTGCACCATTTTTGTCTCTGTGCTGGGACACAGAAAGGTGCCAGTTTAAAACTACACATGCGCAGTTGCCCAAAAGTGTTACGGACAGACAAACAGACTAAGCCTTTTATTATATTACAATGGGTAGTTTACAGAGGAGAACCTGGGAGAGCCTGTGCCAGAATGGGATTGATCTGGAACCACCCAGAGCTCTCATCCTAGGTGCCGTTTCCACTATGAAATGTCCAAAAATTTGCACAGTGGGGCCTGAGCCATTAG